CCTTTTTTATATTATATTAAAGTTTAATATTTTGATAATAATCATATGTGTTAGACTTTTCAAGAATTTTTTTTATACTTGTTCTTAATGCATTAAAGTGTTATTATGAGGGATAATAATCATATATGTTGGGACTTTTCAAGGAATTCATATGTTGGATTTCAAAGAATTTTTTTTATGCTTGTTCTTAATGCATTGAAGTGTTATAATGAGGGTAAGACTTGGGGGTTGGGAGAAGTTAATAAATGTTAAGGTTTTTTTTTTTTTTTAAATCAAAAAATTAAGAAATTTAGATTGGGAGATTGGAGCTCCCACAAGGCTTGGGGTTAAAAACCCCCTTTTGCTTAATATATAGTATAGATATTTGCAAATATTATGATTCAATTTTTATAGTTGCATATTGTCATGACCTTAATTAAGAAATCTTTTTAGTTTTAATATTTTATTTTCTCTCTACTTTACTGTTGCTTGCCTTAATTCTGAATTTGTTCAATATTTTTCCTTTCATATTTATGTGCAGAAAGAAGTTAACACGTCTATCTGTAAATTCCAATGGTTCCCTTATCCCCAAGGATTGCATCGACAGGAATCTAATAAAAAAAAGCATGTGGTGAGTAGTTTCATTTGATATCAGTCATCACTGTAAAATTTAATTCTTAGGAAATTAATGCTAATACAAGCAAATGACTTCTGCTACAAAATTTATGCAAAGTTGCATGTTTATTGTCATTACCTTTCATTTGAATGTGTAATGATCAAAGATCATTGCATTAATTCCAAAGCTTCCCTCGTTTAATTTAGTTTGCATAAGTTGTGTTACAAATCATAATTAGTTTGCCCTTGTTTAAATTGTCTTCTAAAGGAAATGAACATAATAAATAAATAAAAGTAATTTGTAAGAGGTTGCAATTGATACAGCTTCCAAATGTCAATGGTTCTTTGTGATAAATTAGAAAGGTCAGGGAGTGTTCTTGTATTTTTATCAAATGTTAGGGAGTATTTGTGATTTTACCATTTGATATTTTAGGATACTACATGAGGGCAAGGCATAAATTTACCACCACTTAAATAAGATAATAATGGCAATGTGCATTTGTTACTTAAATTGATTTTTGGCTTTGCGAGAAGTGGTATTAGAAGCTAGGTCGACCTGCTTCCGAAAATGGGCTTCTGAGAAGGTCAGTTTCCATGGGAATCCAATGTATAAATCACCGCCAAAGACAACTAATTTAAAAGCATTTCCAACGCCATGAGTGCATTTCAGAAGCCACCCCAAACACCCCCAGTCTCCACTTCTTAGTGGTGCTTCTCCTCTCCCCCTTCTGTTGATCTTATCATAATTTGTAGAACACACTAGGTTTTCATGATCTCTATCTCTTCTCGAAGATGATCCTCCTCCCATCTTCTTACCCTCCTGTTTGGACTGCTGCCTCATCTTAGTTCAATGGTTTCCAGAAACCTGTAGGCCTCCTCTTCAAACCCTTGTCATAAAAACCTAGGAGCTAAAACTGCCTCGTCCTACCCTCACTGTTTTTCTTCAGCCATAAACAACCAAAGGAGGGCAGAATCTCCATGTTGTGACCATTCCTTGGTATCACTCACAAATAGTCCCTCTGGTTCTCCATCTCCCCAAAGAACTCAGAAAAGGCTGAAAATCATTGTCTTGTAAATACTCACCTCCATGCTAACTGTCAGATAGTAGCCACCACTTCTTCACCTGATAGAATCTCTCCCCATCCTCTCCACCTATAGATGCATCCCTTTCCACCACCAGAGCCCTATTGAGATAATGAGAACTCAGTTTCTCCCCACATCCATCTCCTCCAATCATCACTTTCCCATCATTGCCTCCTGCCAACCATTCTGTAGCTCCGAATACCTGAAGCCCTCTCTTCATCCACTTTGTGGCCTTTTCCCATCCTCTACTCATGCAACAACTCAACAGAAACAGATGGAGGACCATAGGGAGGCAGAGTCAAATATTTTTTTTCGTAAAATAAGTCAGCTCATACTTACCTTGATAACTATGGTTAAAGGCCTTTGGGCTGACCTTGAATCAGGGCCTTGCTTGCCTCTTTAATCTACTTAGCTGGCCCACACCATTCCAGGATCTGCTGGATTGAAGTGCTCCAAATGTCACCACACCAGTCATAATTCTTGACATTACAGCAACGTTACGGTAAATAATGATGATTTCTTGGCAAAACATCCCTTTTTCTTGTGTGCTCACCCACCGTGAAAGTAACTATAATAATAAATTTTATATTGAGAACAATCCCTGAAATGATACTACCCTTTTTTATGAACATATTTGTGATACTCATTTGTGTCAAATATAGCTCTATGAATTTTTTGTAGTTGACTTGTTAAAATATTGTAGCTTCTTCATTTTCCACTTCAGTCAAGGATGTCTAAGCTGATTATTGAAAATAGATGTTCTAGAAAAGGATTGTAATATCCTATCCCAAAAAAACAAAAACACAAAAGAAAAAGGAAAAGAATTGTAATAATATTGCATGCATGGTTGTTAGAATCTTACAATTCACGGTTCGATTCATACGATTTGATATGAGCTTCAGGCAAAATGATTTGATTCATGCATTTGAATTTTAAATTCAGTGAATTTTATGGTTGAATTACAATTTAGTATGATTCATTACGATTCATTGCAATTTAAATGATTCAATTATGTTTGCATAATGCATGCAATTGAGTCATTTTCACAAAAAGGAAGAAGAAAGAAAAAAGAAGAGATTAACTAATTATTTTGATATACGTGATTTTATATGTCTATACATATATATATATAATATATGTATATTGATAATTATTTCATTTTAAACACTGTATTTTTATATGTAATATATATATATATATAATGCTAAATAAACTAAATCTTACAATTCACGATTAACTATTTAGCAAAAAAATTCACAATTCGATTCATTATTTGACAACAATGATTGCTTGGGTTGAACCATTTCCTTCTATAGTCACGCTTGATTTTGGGAGTGTCATATGCCTTAATTTAAAATCAATGTGGAAAATCAGTTCTGTTTTTCTTGATGTTCCTTTTCTACTTCAGGTTAAAGGCATTGGTTGCTATCCCAAAGGTACAACCACGTTTTGCTATTGCTATCTCGAAGAGATACCCTACAATGAAATCCCTTTTGACTGTTTACATGGATCCAAATAAATCGGTGAGTGATATAACAAAACAGCCTTTATTTTTCTTAATACACATATTTGTATAAACAAACCTTGTTTATTGGTGACTAATAGTGACTTTTTTACTGGTTGAATAATGTGATGCGATTTTAGCATGCCTCACACTGTTCTCATGGTACAACTTGTCTTCTTCCATCTCTTGGACAGTCCTCTTCCTAAAAGGATAGTATTTGTGGACTATTTTTGTTAAATTTCTGTTTGGGACATATAAAGGAGGGCTGAGAAACAAACAACGGATTTAACTGGAATAGTGAGTCTTGATTAAGTCCAACCTTGTAGGGTTTGTGGAGGGAATGGAAATTTCAGTTTAAGGATGACAGCAAATCCTTTCAAGGGATCCAAGTAAAATATTAAGGTATTCTTGTGGATTTTGCTGGGAAAAAAATTGAGATGAAAATGAACCTAAAATTGTTGCTCTCTATTTAGGAGGTTGAATGAGTTCATGTTCATTTCCTGCGTTTTTGGGTTTCCCGATGAACCCCTGGGATTGTTTAATGTGCATGACCATTCAATTATGTATCATCCAATAAGATAGCCCAATTGGTACAAAGATTTTTCAATGCTTTGGCACATAATATCCAACTAAGTTGTTTTATTTCTCCCTTTTCTTCTTGGAAAGTATATGAATATATACAAGAAATTCTAATGTAGCGGGACAATAATATCTCAAATGTAGCAAAACTTGCTACTTGACCTTAGCATATATTATTATTTCTTCAACATGGATTTACATAATTTGGTGGTTAATGGTTATGTTATTATGATACAGACACTCGTCATTGTAATTTTCAAAATATCACACAGCAATAAATAAATGTATGTTTATTACACAGTAATAATAAGTTCTTTGTTTTTCTCATTACAAATATTATGGAAAAGAAGAGTATTCAAAAAGTCATAATCAATCTATACTATTATATATGTCAAGGCTGCTGATGGTGTTGACGTCTCATATTTTGGGTTTTCCCTACCCCTATAGTTGGTGCTTATGTAAAAAAAATACATTAAGAGGAAGATTAAACACTTACCACTTGAACAACCCATACTTTGTGTGCATTTCTCTTTATTATTATTCTTATACTATTACCTTTTTTCAAATTGCACACGCATCGTGTGTGCGAACTGCTAGTGTGTGTATATATATATATATAAAGGACTTCATTCACAAAAAATTGGAACTTGCAAACTTAGTTTCTAAAACTAGGCTAAAGAGAAAAGATTAATATGAACCCTCATTATTTTGCCTTTTGTTATGGACTTCGAAGTTCCAAGTCATTTTTCTTTATAATTGTGATGTGTTTTATGTGTCCAAGTGATAGATGCGTCAAAAGTGTGTTTGGTACTAGAAATATTGAAAAAGTAATTGGGGTGGTTTGAATTTGTGTCCTAGATATTTCGGAAATATTGAACGTCATCAAATGATCTTCAAAATTAATGCTGAGTTAGCTACGCCTAGAGAAAGTGATTTGTTCTATTAGTATGATAAATGCATCCTGTTTTTTAGTTTAACTCAACTTCTCAGTATTTATTTTCCCGTTGTCTTGCATATCAAAAGGAGCATAATTGAAATTTATATTGTAAATTGATTCTTATTTAAAATGGCAGGTGCATGAGAAAGAATTTTTGCTCAAGGACTTGATAATAGAAGGGTTACTTGGTGAGGATAGAAGACTGGGGGAGGTTTGCTCAAAGAGAGTTTACAGAATATTAATGGCACAATGTGGAAGCATTAAAACTGATGATGTCGAGGATGGTGCTGATTTCTTTCGACATTCGACTTGAATGACTACTCTTCACTGTACTTCTTGGTGATCACTTCTAAGTGGATGATAAAAGAGCATGATGATGCCCTCTTGATTTTTTTTTAATTTTTTTTTTCCCTGTAGCATAGGATACATTTTGAGTACGACGACTTACTAATTGAAATTGATATATGCATTGTATCAAATAGCTTCAAAATCTGCCTGGCTTTGACATCTGTCCTTGGCAACTAGGCTTGTCAAATGTTCCTTGATGAGTTGGACAAAAATCAGCACTATGGTGGTGTGGTGTTTCCGTGAAGGTGGCCCCTTTGCAAATTTAGAGGCATTTGGTATTGCAAGCGTGGCAATTTGGCAAACCTCTTATGTGGTTCTTATTAATTGAAAATTTTACCTTTATGCTGTGTTTAGTTGGGAGATTTAAGGAAGAATTTGGAAAGAAAAATAAAAAAGGTAGGTGGAATGTGAATAAAACATACTTATATTTTACTTAATTTTACATATTTTTTTCCTTTTTCTTTTAAAATCTTTCCTCAAATCCTTCAATCAAACACAGCGGTAGGATATGTTTGATGGAATCAAAGAGGTAGGAATGACACTCGTTATGAAGAAATCAAAGTCGCCTTTTTTTGTCATTGTTTTGAAGTTCAATTTGTGATATTCTCATCCAGGTTTGTCTACTTACGTGGTCATTATTGTCCTTGTTTTCTCATTTAAGAGAGAAATGATGTCCTTCACATCAACATCAACTTATGACCATTTGTAATGTTATGTATTTTTGTGTTAAATGTTTTACATATGTATATTTATAGTTATGATAATTTGTAATTCAGAAATGAAGTTATGCATTTTGTGCTACTATTACACATTTTTGGTAATGTTATATATTTTGTGATTAATAAACATTTCAATAAAAAAAATTATAATATTACCACAAAAATGTATAACATTAGTACAAAAATGTGTAATTTTATTTCTAAATCATAGATTGTTGTAACTCTATCCAAAAATATATGTAATATTTACCATATAAATCTGTAACATGAACCACAAAAATACATAACAAGACATAATACAGAGACATGTACCATAAATATTCCCTTATATTAAAACACCAACTCAACTTCACATCAACATCAACCTATGGTGATTTGCATTTGTATTAAAACACCTACTATTTTCATATGTATTAAAAAATCTATATACGGTATGCTATTAAAACAAAATTTTATATTTTTAAAGCTATTTTTCTTTAAAGTTTATCAATTGTGCACAAACAATTTATATGAATGTTTTTGTGTTATTATTCTTTGTATTATTAATTATTAATTTTTTATTTTTTAAAATCATTTAAAAAAAATTAAGATTTTAAGAGTAAAAAAAAAAAAATTATATGGTATTTGAATATGTATTAAAAATCTATATACACTATTTTATTAAAATAACACATTTAATAGTTTTAAAGCTATTTTTCTTTAAATTTTATCAATTGTGCATAAAAAATTTATATGAATGTTTTTGTATTATTATTCTTTGTATTATCAATAATTTTTAATTTTTTTAAAAAAATTAGTTAAAATAAAAAAATTAAGATTTATTTTCACAATGACCTATATATTTTAAGAGAGACTCACATTACAATCAAAGATAAAATTCAATCATAAAATATATTTTGTATAATTTTGGTTTTTGTTTTTTAATTTTATTTGCCTGGAGTTAATGACGAAATTTTTTTTGACACAAATCACACTGTATTGGCTGATAATGATTGAGCATTTTCAATACAAACATAAATATGAGATGATATGATAATACAACCAACAAGACATGACATCCACTGTTACCTAGCATTATTATTATTTTATTATATATATACATAAAATTATTAAATGATATTAGAATATTATGTGACATTATCTATATGATACTTTTGATCAATAAAAATCATAACATATGCTAAGGTCTCGGTTGGGAATAAGATTTTTTAGTAGGGCCATTTCCCTAAATAAGTCAAATTATCAATTCAATTCCCAAACTAAGCCTAGTTTTGAAAGAATTCCCAAAATAGGCTAAAACGTGGTTCACAACCACGCTTTCAACGTCTGTGTACCTGCCCCGCGTGAAAATTGGAAAGTCTTAAAAGCGTCGTTACAAAACGCGCTTTTAATTAATAAAGCGCGGTTACAAAAGGCGCTTTTAATTAAATTTTTTTCCTTCTGAAATCGCTAATCTGAACCACGCTTTTAACTTAAATTTTTTTTCTTCTGAAAGCGCGGTTGTGAACCACGCTTTTAACCAATTTTTTTTTTTTCTGAAATCGTGGTTATGAACCACGTTTTTAGTTTAAATTTTTTTTCTTCTGAAAACATGTTATGAACCACGCTTTTTGGCAAATTTTTTTTTCCAAAGAAAGCGTATTTGTGAATCACGCTTTTTACATAAACTACGCCAATTATTTAGTTTCAGTTTAACTGAACTATGAAGAAGATTTTTTTTTTTTTGGGGAAATTACATATACACCCCTCGAGGGTTTTAGCCTAAATTTTTTTTCTTCTGAAAGCGCGGTTCTGAACCACGCTTTTTTAGCAAATTTTTTTTTTAGTTTCAATTTAACTGAACTCTGAAAAAGAAATTTTTGTTTTTTGTTTCTGTTGTCATTGTTTTGGTGATAATGTATTTCAGAATAATTTTTTGAGTTAAAATTGTTTTACTAAAACCGTTCTCATGTTAATTTTTTTTTCTTTTCTTTTGTCTTTATTTTGGGCTAGAAGGTGTAATTCAGATTTTTTTTTTGGCTTTACTAAAGTAAATTTATTTTGTTTTTTCTTGTGTTTGTTTTGGGTTAGAAGGTGATAATGTAATTCATAAATTTTTTGAGCTTTAGTAAAGCCATTTTGATGTAAATTTTTTGTTATTTTATTTTCTCTTTGTTTTGGGTTAGAAGGTGTTATTCAGTAATTTGTTTGGGCTTTAATAAAGCCGCTTTCATTTAAATATATATAATTTTTCTTTTGTCTTTGTTTTGGGTTAGAAGGTGATAATGTAATTCAGAAATTTCTTTTCGCTTTACTAAATCCGTTTTCATGTAAAGTTTTTTATTTTTTATTTTTTTCTCTTGTCTTTGTTTTGGGTTAGAAGGTGTTATTCAGAAATTTGTTTTGGCTTTACTAAAGCCGTTTTCATTTAAATAAATTTTTTTTCTGTTGTCTTTGCTTTGGGTTAGAAGGTAATAATGTAATTTAGAAAACCTTGAGGAAAAAACACATAAGTCTCCCACAAAAATGCATAGGTAGTACAGAGATAAGTCTCCGACAACAATACATTCTGGACACCATGAATTGAACACACAATACATACATAAACATAACAGTTAGACAGACAAATATTAGCCAGACAATCTGAAAAACTCATTACGAAAACACTTAGTCTAACACAGACATTACATATTAATGCATGACCTAATATTGCCGAAGTGTAGACATTAACACCTAATTCGCGCTTAAATCGGTAGGTGGCTCAGTGTCTGAATAATCCGAAAGCTCAACGTCAAAGACAAGCTCAGGATCCTCCATGATACTCTTGATAGCCGCAACATTTGGTTCTGTTCTGTTCTTCTGGGCATCCTTCTTAACTATGTATAGTTGCATATCGAAGGCAAACCTACGGCGCATTTGAGAAATCTCACGTTGTAGTCTTTCACATAGTCGATCAACATTATCAGGATCTTCCTTTTGGATCTCAACAGAACGTGCTTTTGGCACCTTCAGTCGATTTTCCCGACATAATCTTTCCATTTGCACTTGCTCTATAAATAGTGCGGGCCACTTCAGAAGTCTAGCGTTTGCTAAACCATATCCTGTTTGATTATCTGATGGATCCTCCATCAAACCACATGGATCTCGATAGTACTTGGGCATGACAAAATGTCGCTTCCCAAACCTATCATGATAAGCACAAGAGGCATCTAACAAAGTAAATGGCGTTTCATCTTCAGCATCGCCACTTCCTCTTCCCCCTCCTCGTCGTGAATTGTCATCCCTTTGCAAGTTCCTACCACCTCTGCGATTTCCACTCCCTCCCATGAACCATGTAGCCATGCTGATTTTTTAAAACAAATGAATGATAATTTCGTAGGGCGAAATGAGTTGTAAGGTTTTGTCTTCACATTTAGTCGTTTAAATAGTTCGTTATGAACCGCTTTAGAAAGATGCCCCTGCATGACAATCCCACATATACGAACAAGGTATGAGTTGTCACTAGAATGAAAAAATAAAGAAAAGCAAATACTGTGTACCAAGTCACGTGACTTGACAATCCATCTGCAGATACCGACAAAGTAAGGGCATGCTCACTGTAAGGTAAATAAGTTAATTCACTGTTGGCATGTGACTTTCTGAATTGAGAATCACTGTAATAAAAAAATCGAGCAAAAAATCGATAGAACCAAAGCTTGTGCACCAAGTCACATGACTTGACAATCCATCTGCATATACCGACAAAATAAGGGCATGCTCACTGTAAGGTAAATCAATGAATTCACTGTTGCCATGTGACTTTATGAATTGAGAATCCCACATATATCAATAATAGATGAGTTGTCACTGTAATAAAAAAATCGAGCAAAAAATCGATAAAACCAAAACCTATGCACCAAGTCATATTACTTGACAATCCATCTGCATATACCGAGAAAATAAGGGCATGCTCACTGTAAGGTAAATAAGTGAATTCACTGTTGCCATGTGACTTTATGAATTGAGAATCCCACATATATCAAATTGGTGTTGAGTTGTCACTGTAATAAAAAAATCGAGCAAAAAATCGAGAAAACCAAAGCCTATGCAAAAAGTCACATGACTTGACAATCCATTTGCATATACCGAGAAAATAAAGGCATGCTCACTGTAAGGTATATCAGTGAATTCACTGTTGCCATGTGACTTTCTGAATCGAGAATCCCACATATATTAATAAAAAATGAGTTGTCACTGTAATAAAAAAATCGAGCAAAAAATCGAGAAAACCAAAGCCTATGTACCAAGTCACGTGACTTGACAATCCATCTACATATACCGAGAAAAGAAGGGCATCCTCACTGTAAGGTAAATCAGTGAATTCACTATTGCCATGTGACTTTCTGAATTGAGAATCCCACATATATTAATAAGAAATGAGTTGTCACTGTAATAAAAAAATCGA